CTCGATGTGCAGATTTCGTGGCAGGCGCAGTACTTTGTGAACCTCGATGTGCAGATTTCGTGGCAGGCGCGGTACATTGTGAACTTCGAAATGCTCCTATGTACTCGCCTATGTGCTCTCAGATTTGTGCTTGTATGTGCTCTCACATTTGTGCTCTCAGATGTGTGCTCTCATGTGCTCTCATATGTGCTCCCATATGCTCTCATATGTGTGCTCTCATTTGTGCTGTTGTATGTCTCCTCTCATATTTGTGCTTTCATCTGTGTGCTCCTTCTTTCCTTCCACGTGATGCCATGTTCCATCTGTTCCTCTTTACACTATTTGGGTCCCTTGCCGGTGTAATTTAGTTTGGTTTGGTTAAGTTAAGTTATGTTAAGTAAGCTAAGTTAAGTTAAGTTAAGTCAAGTTAAGTTAAGTTAGTGAGTTAGTGGTTAGTGAGTTTGTGAGCTAGTGAGTAAGTAAGTAAGTAAGTAAGTAAGTAAGTGAGTAAGTCAGTAAGTAAGTAAGTGAGTGAGTGAGTGAGTTAGTTAGTTAGTTAGTTGGCTTTTGTTAATATAGTTAAGCTAGTTAACTACTGACTTGTGCGACTCGTAGAACTTAGTAGCGACGTTTCAGGTGGCTTGATCCATTCCGGAATCTCTAGACAGCGGCAGCTCTGCGAGCGAAACTTCCCTCATTCCCTACAAGTCGTCCCACTTGTTATATCAAGGAAAGGACCATTCAGTGGGACTCATGTAGACTCATGACATTCATAACCCCAAAATATGAGGATGTCCAATTCAAATCGGGGGGGTAATGATCAAAGAGTCTACATGACAGATTTCCTGGACAATTCCAGGACACACCCCTCCGCAACTCCGCAACAGTCCGACTTGGTGTTCGATGGACCGACGCGTGGACGAGTTCTCCAGAGGCGCTTCGGCGCCTCTGCCGAGGAAAAGAAAAGAAAAGACTCTCTTGCGGACCCGCAACAGTGAAGAGTGAAAAAGGCTTTGTGGCTTTTTCTGGGCAAGAGTGTTGATATATTTTAATATATACCAGGAGTTTAAAACAGCCTCCAAAAACTCGATGCAACTCTGCTTGCTCTGCTTGTGGTGTGATCGTCCCACCTGCTTGCTCGGCCCGACTCATCTGCTCCTGACCCCCCTCAGTTTCCCTTGGAAAAGAAGCAGTGGAATCGAACGGTCCACCTGTTTCATAGGGGACGTTCCCCCATTTGGGGTGATCCACGCAGTTTACCCGGAAGTAGGAACGTGGCTGCAATGGGATCACGCTCACATCCAGAGGTTCCAAGGAGTTGCACTCGTGAACCAAATGGTGGTCGAGCCGGACACACCGAGGGTGGCTTGCGCCACAGCGGGCAGAAGCTCGCCTGAAGAGTCAAAAGCCTCTTCCTTCCTTACCCAGAAGGTCTGTTCGGTGACCCAGAAGGTCTGTTCTGTCAGGTTTGTAAATGTCTTGTCAGTACTTGTGATTGATTTGGGAGCCTCAGGTACAGCCACATGAGAAAAACAGTCAGGTCTGGCAAGCTCAAGCAGACCTGACTAGAAGGACCTGTAACCTTAGCCAATGGCAATGCTCCCCCCATAGATAGTTCCATCCGTTCAACATCGTTCAACTAGCAGCAAGTGGTACGGGAACACCCATGGTTTTCGTCCTTCCTCTCCCTGTTTCGGTCGCACAGCGAGAACTCCGACAGGACCAGCGAGTCGATTTGCCGAAGGGGTCTTGCCGGGATGGGCTAGTAGCTATCAACGGAACTACTACAAAACGAGCCTAACCAGTGCATCCCAATGTAAGGACGTCTTTCGCACGTTCTTTGTAGATTTGCTATCTATGTGGAGATCACTGCTGTACATCCAAAGCCAGGCAGCTGATCCCTTACCTTTTTGGATCTGTTTGGTTGTCAACAATCAATCTCCACACTCGGATGAGCTCAACCCTCCTCTTGGGTGATTTCCCAACCTTTGACTACCACTAGAAGCTACAAAGAAAAGGATCTACAATTGGGCTGGTCACACTTTGCAAGTCATGGTTGATTTACAGTATAACCCCTTGGATGCTTGGAATCCTGTGGTTTCCATAGGACGCCAGACATCTCTGAGAAGCAAAAACTGTACGTAACATAATATTGAATGTTTAAAACATATTATATATTGCTCAATACTTTGCTGTATCCATCTGTATCCACTATTCAATATTCCTTATTCCTCATTTTACCAAGACAACATTCAACAAATGTTTGGAGTAAAAAAACTGTTTGCCTGTCTTGGTACTAAACGTCGGAACAAAAGAATCACATGTTTTGATATGTTTTGTGTTTTTGTTGACACTTGACCCCAAATATACCATCACCTTATGTCACCTGAACCAACAGAGTTTGCTTGACGCCGGGGCCGTCCTTCTTGTCGGCTCGTGGCTCGTTCTCCCTCAGCGCGGGTTTGTTCTACGCTCGACGCTGGTCGGGGCAAAGTCAATGCAAATCCACAAAGAAAGATGTCGAGAAAAATTCTCCACCTGGAAATGATGGGAACCTCAATATTCTCTCTGTTTTGGTCGACTTACATTATCTATGCTAAGTCTCCGTTGACTCTCTCAAGATCATCCAGACTGGTGTCTCTTGTTGGACACACGTCGTTCTTCATCCGGCGCAGGGCTCTCACATGCGCCATCTTGGGCTCTCACATGCGCTCTCCGAGCGAGTCAGGCGTGCCCCCCATGCACGCCATCGCACGTGAAGCGCAGCAATCACCCTGGAAAGAGGAGTGGCCCACAGTCCTTTGGGTGTGGTCATAAATTCAGATCCATTTAGCATCCTGGATAAATCCTGGATCACCTATTGGACGTGTAAACTGTATTCACATAAAACGAAACGAACCAATGCAGGCCGACTAAATCATCAACCACTGTGAACTGCCAAATATCAATAAATCCATTATAGTGTACTCTGCACCCTACGTGTGCTAACATACTTTGTAGATGTTTGCAACGTGCTTATGTTTTGCAATGAAAATGCACATAGTGAGATCGCAAAGTGTAAGGTCTTCCACGAAGATAATTTTCGGATGTTTTCGGTTGTGCTCAACCTATCTCCCCTGTCCTCGGCTCGAGGCAAAGAAAATTTGGGAGCACAACGTGACAGCTGCATGTCCACATGGCTACGACAGGCACGGCGTGTCCGCTCGGTGTAGCTACAACGACTTAGGAGGTCCTCAAAATGGTGTCAGGATGGCTTGAGGTATGTGTCCCCTGGCCTATCCTGGCTTCAAACTTTCTGAGTCACTGGCTGTCACTAACTAGATACTTGCAAAAACACCCTGGGACGCAAAGAACCCAACGACCAACAGCACACACGCAGCCTCTTCGCGAATTTTCGGAGTCCGGGCGCATGGGGGGACCGAAGGGGGCCGATGTCAGGCACGACCGAATTGCGGGAGCATCCCCTTCCCAATCATCAGCCAATCGTGCGGCTGCGTCGGTTAGGAGGTCGTAGGTCAGGAGCTTTAGATGGTTTTCCATGGTTTTCCCATTCCCATGAATCAAGCAACCAACGCGGAAAAGGACTGCCTAGGGCTCCAAGTGTCTTTTGACAAGGTGTTTGGGGATGGTTTGGGGCCCAACAATCACGGCTCCGAAAAAGATCAAAAACCCAAGCCCACCAGGGCCCTTTTCTGAGTGTGTAATGACCCGCCTTCTCAGCATTGGTCCGTCGTCGATGTTCTGGATGTGAGCTGCCGGCCCTCGCTCGTAGGTTGAATGCACTTAACAACAGATGTTGCAATTATCCTTATGACACCTTTCACTTTTATGTCCTTTCAACCTCTGCTTGAAATGATCTGGGTCCGATCGCCTCCGATCGCCAAATACCTGGAGAGCTATGTCCCATGAGCCGGCAGCGCGTCAAGGGCGGATAGCAACAACTGGCGGGCTCAAAGCGTTCAAAATGACAGCAATGTCGAAGCACACAGAGCACAAGTCAACATGCTTGGGCAGCTCGCCAATCAATCTCAATAATTGCTCAAGCTCTGCTCTATAGTGATCGCGGCAAGGGTGATTCACCAGGTCTGCAAGTCGGGCCCGTCCGCCTTCGTGACTTACGCACAACCGAATCCCATGTCATGGATCGCGGATCTGGCCGATCTGCACCTGCCTGTCTTGCGGCGTGTGCTTACACACGTTGCGCCACGCCGGCACCTTCAAAGTTCCCAGGTCTGAATCCAGGAAAGTTAAGTTCTCAACACATCTCCTCCCGCTTCAAGAGCGGCATCGCTCGCGCGGGAGTAAAAGAAGCCACCCGCAAAACTCACTTGGCAGGCTTTGGGCAAGAAGTGCTGTTGAACATGCACATAGTGAGCTTGACATAGCTTGACAAGCGCCCCAACTGCACCTTGAATCTTTGTCAGTTGTTCAACGTCCATTGCCCCTTGCGGCGATCAGAACTGAGCCGACCAAGACTGTTAACCTCTCTTGGAAGGCCTAAGCGAGCACCAGGAAGGGGTTGGCTAGAATGATCCCAGAGTTTGTAGTTTGTTGCCGCGGCCATGAAGCCCATTGCAAAAGGTCACGTCACAGGCTTGGCCCACAAAGGCAACATGGTAGACTGCTTTCCCATGGCCATCACGCGAACTTCATTGCTCCAGCCAGCTGAGGGCCCGAGACAAAGGGTCCTTCTCGAGTGGACTGTCTCCTTCAGTCGCCACAAACTTCGCGCTCATACGCTGCAACTCAGCTGATGACAGCATCTCCACTTCAAAATCACATCCTTGATTGGCCCTGGATCTATTATCAGATCTGATACATATTGACCTTCAGCTTACACCACCTCCTCCTGAGCGTTCTGAACATGAGTCCTGAACGCACAGGGATCTGATCTGGGGATCCTTTTCTAAGTGGTTCCTTTTTCAATCCCTTGGAAAAAGGATTGGCAGAGTGGGCCCAAAATCTTGGCATCCACTTTTCCGACTTTTCCAAGATTTAGCAAGCCTTGGTACCGGTCGGCAATTATCACTGGGAGGCAAAGCCACCTTTTCCATGGATGGTGGTACAGACTGGCAAGCTGTCTGTGCACCATCCGCAATGATGTACCAGCCATCGGGAGTGAGGGCCAAGCCCTGAAGAGATTCGGGCTCCGAACGTACAGGGTCAAAAAGGATTCGCTCGGCATGCTGCGTTCAGAACGCAAGTTTTTGAAACACAGGTTCTGAACGCCAAAACTCTCGAGCCGAGTGATCTAAGCTTCGGAGGCACTTGGAGCCCTAGCGACCTTTAAATGGTCTTCACTGCCGTTTCTTCTTTCCATCCTCGGCTGGAGACGTGGTTGTCACACCGCAGGCTTTTTCAATCTGGGCTTCCCGGTGGGGCCGGGGCACCGAGACACCAGTCGCTTTGGGTGTCTCGTGAGAGAACATGGAAGCGTTGGAGACGTGGAACTCTCTGAGACCGACCGACATGGTGTGGTGGCCAAATAAATGTGAAAAAGTATGCGAAAAAAATGAACAGCCATATGGTATCTCCTGTGTTCTGATATGCTCTGATGGTTTTAAGACTGGAGGAGCAGTTTCTTGGCACCAGAGAACAAATACTGTTGACTGTAGTCGGTTGAGGTTCTAAATTATCCGAATGGTGTGGAAGAGTGCCGCGTGAGTGGCACGAGGACTGATAGCTTCCAACATGCTTCCATGATCAAGCTGGCAGTTGCGAGAGCTCACAGCTGTCATGCCGAACTACTATGTCTGATCATCCAAGCAGGTTGAGGAAAGAGGCCTTGAAATCGAAGTGGAGTTCACCTCCTCTTTGCTATTCGGATTTACTGGTCATCCAAGATCGGGGCGGATTGTTCACCATGTAACCATGGATTTCAGGGAGTGGGCGAACAGCCCTGGCGCCAGGCCAGGACGTCGCACCGGGCCTCGCTGTCCACCCGAGGCAGCTCGGTGAAACACTGAGGTTTCGTTTCGTTCTGCGGTTCGATTGGAGCCACGGGACCTCGGTGATCGATGGAACCAAGGTTCTGACCGTCTCTCCCTTCATTTGTATCACTGAAGGATCTAAACCAGGCAAGGACTCGACCGCCCCCTCCCAGGTCCGGATCAGTTCAGCTGTTCGCTTCTTGGAAAGCTGTTCGGCTGGTTCGCATGGGACAGATTCGAGACTGACACCTGCAGTTGCATTGGAAAGGTGTGTATATATAAATGAAAAGCACACCTGGACCATTCAAGGGGTGTGCAATGGAGATCCATAATTAGTAGGTGTAGGGTAGTCCATTGGGCGCCCCTTGGATGAAAAGCACCAAGTCTTTTGCTCTTCGTGGCACGAATCGTGGACTGAGTCGTGGTGCGTGAACCAACTGCCATCCGCGAGTACTACGATGATGAAGTCTTCTCCGACTTCTCGGTTCTTCATTTCCACCTCGACCTGGATGATCATCCACCTCTGCCACCTCATCCGGCGGGGAAAAAGGATTCACGGCGGCATGCTGCCGCCACGGTGAAACGGTGCCTGGCGGGCCACGGTGACGGGCCACGGTGACGGGCTACGGTGATGTGACACGGTGTGCAGCGAGTGACGCGAGTGACGCGCCACGAAAAGGGAGGTGTGACACAACCGCTTCAAACCCCCCAAAGCTGGTGGCGTTGGAAGGTGCTTGTGGTCCTAGCCCACTGAGTCCAAGTTTAGCCAACTTGGAATCTTCACTTGTGTAGCTTTGGAAAACCAGCCACGCAGGGGTGATCTGAAGATCCGGAGGCGGAGGAGGCGCTGGTACTTTGTTCAGCCTTTGAACGGAAGGTGTGGTTGATCAATCCACCACCCAGACCATCCATGTATGGCAGATTTACTCATATTGGGGTGGTTTCAGGGGTCAATGTGTAAGTATGCCATGGATGACCTGGGCCATTTGATGCTTTTTCAATGTGTATACATAGCCCGCAGCCCGCACCCGGACATGGGAGAACGTTCGGGGCACGTTTGGTCAACGCCGACATGAAAACAAGGGAGCAAACATCCATGAAAATCCACTCGGAGCTTCCCTTGAGCTACCTCATTGCAGAGCATCTGCCACGTAGAAAGAACCTGAAAACTGGAATGGACCAACCACATGTGGAGGTCTAGCTGGACTGGTGCCAGGGTTGGCCAGTTCCAGTTTCCAAGCCTGGACCAGGACCTTCACATTCTGTTTGTACCCTGCAAGGACGCACCGGACAGTCAGACTGACTGGTTCCATGTGAATTCCATTCCGGTGACCCTGGACTTTCGCATGCACCATCCAGTTGGCGCGGGTCCGGTTCTTCAAAGATGTTTCGTCAACACTATAGAGCTTTCACATGGGTTCCTGACCATGACCCCCATGACCCTCCTGGCACCCTCCCTGGTTCATGCCAAAGCGCGCGTGTGCCACCCACCCACGCCTCGACATCGAGCTTATTGTCTCTTCGATGGCGTCCCCATCAGGGAGCCTCCCGGTGGAAAAACAACATCAAATGCCAGCACCGGACTTCACAGGTCACCAATTGAGACCTCCCAGTTGGCATGGAAGAGGGTCTCCCTCTTGAATACACACCCAAATGATCTTTCTTGGGATCTAGCCATGGTCTGGCGTCTCCAAATTTGGCGAGCAACTCAGGAAAAGTCCAACTATGTAAGAATCCACTTCTCGGATGGAGCCAGTTCTGGAAGCCATCGCTCCCCATACAACCACCCAAAGACGCCACACCCAGTGTCATGGAGAATCAAGGTGGAATTCTTTGGGGGTTCTCAAAAAAAACAGTCCGGT